CTCAGTTGTAGAGGATGCATCTAATCCTTCAAAAACTTGATGCCCCAGGGAAGGGGGATGTCTGGGGGTGGGGAGCCCTCTCAGAGATAAAGGGAAGAGGCAATGAGACAAAGAATTCTGGGACAGGGGCTGGGGAGGGGGAGCAACATCTAGAATATAAATAAATAAAATAACAAAAAAAAATTTAAACATTAAAAAATCAATAAAAGAGTAGAAAGCACGAGGTTCCTGTACTCACAGATAAACTCTAGAAAAACCAGGAATGTTAAACATGCATGGGGTATCTCCTCAATGGACAAAATAAAATACCTGCTGTTCCGGGCAATGGTGGCGCACGCCTTTAATCCCAGCACTTGGGAGGCAGAGGCAGGTGGATTTCTGAGTTCGAGACCAGCCTGGTCTACAGAGTGAGTTCCAGGACAGCCGGGGGGCTACACAGAGAAACCCTGTCTCGAAAAAAAAAGAAAGGAAAGGAAAGGAAAGGAAAGGAAAGGAAAGGAAAGGAAAGGAAAGGAAAGGAAAGGAAAGGAAAGGAAAGGAAAGGAAAGAAAGAAGAAATCTGGGAGTGTATGTTAATGACCTGGAGACCTTTTGCTATCTGTGAAGGCAGAGTTCACCCACATTCCCCTGGGGATGTTTATCCCAGACTCTTCCCTCCCTAGACATTTATACTAATGGAAGACATTTATATTAATGGAAGCCATCCTTAGGAAGGCATCACATGTATGTTATAGTCTTTGGACCTCCATGCTATCTCAAGTGAGAGACCACACCAGATCCTAGGAACTTTAGCTATAAAACCCATCCTCGTGGTCACATGTACTTTGCAAAGGAGTTTCTGTGTAGTCACACCTTAAGCTTGATTGTGCACCTGGAATTGGAGTGATTTTTGCCTGGAAACTTTTTCTCAAATTGTACTGTGTTTAAATATGCTTACAATAAACCACCTAACATCAGACTCTAGAGAAGGTTGATTCAGACTGACTAAGTCAAGCTGAAGCAAGTTTTTATTCTTACCTCTTCAGGGTTCATATCCTTGACTTTAAAGATGCTTACAGGACCCAACAAAAAGCACATACTGCACTTTCAGAGAATCTGAGTTGAATACACAGCACCTACTCACAACTGCCTCACAACTGGCTCACAACTGGCTCACAACTGGCCCACAACTGCCTATAACTCCAGGTCCAGGGAATCTAACTCCCTTTTCTGGCATCCGCAAGCACTTCACTCAACCCATGTACATATGCACACAGTTTAAAATAATCATGTTTACCAGCATAGACATTTAATCGAAAATTGCCATTGTTTTAAATTTTTCATGCGTATTTATACAAAGTGATCAGTTACATAATGACATTAGAAATTTACCCTCCATTTTCTTCACCTTCCGTGTCCCCCTCAAATTAATAGCCTCTTTTTCTTTATTATTGTTACGTGTGTGTGTGTGTGTGTGTGTGTGTCTGTGTGTGTGTGTGTGTCTGTGTGTGTGTGCACAAATACATAAATACAATCTGCTGAGCCCATTTTGTTGTTTGCTGTTTGTTTGTGGGTATGTTTCAAGACTTGCCACTCAACAATGGACAACCAATACAGGAGCTCATCCCTCAGGAGGCTAATTTCTCCTTCATGCAGTGATTATTTGCCTGTAGTTCTTTGTCTAGAGGTGGGAACCCATGGAAATTTCTCCCTTACACATTAACATGTCCATTGACATTGCCAGTGTTCCAGTCTCGTGTACGCAGCCATTTCTAGGAGAGATTGTTTCACAACAGACTTCCTGATATTCTGGATCTTACCATCTTTCCACCCTTCCTTTGGCAATGTTCTCTGAGCTGGGAGGTACATGTACCTGCTGAGACTGAGAGTCCCATTATCCATCGCTCTCTGTGTCGTCCAGTTCTGGTTTTCTGTGATGATCTATAAAGCTATAAAGAAATGCTTTCTTGATGATGAGTGACAGCTACACTTATATCTGAAGACTGGAGCTGGGAACCATAAATGAAAGAGACCATGCGAGCTTTGTCTTTTGCTGTCTGGGCTACCCCACTCAATATACCTTTTCTAGCTCCATTAATTTTCCTGCAAATTTTATGATTTACCTTTTTATTTGTACTTAAATAGTATTCCATTGTATGTATGTATCACATTTTTATTATCTGTTGAAGGATATTTAGGTTGTTTCCAGTTCTTAGCTCTGGTGAATAGAGCAGCAGTTAGAATGGCTGAGCAAGTGTCTGTGGAATAGGATGTTGAGTCTTTTTTTGCATATGCATACTAGTGGTATAGCTGGGTAGATTTTTTTAGCTTTTGAAGAATCTCCATAGTGGCTGTATCCAACAGTGGCTGAGAGTTTTCTTTTCCCCACAACCACGCCAGCATTTAATGTTCCTTGTTTTGCTGATCTTAGCCATTCTGACTGGGGTAAGATAAAAGTCTCAAAATTGTTTTAATTTTCATTTCCCTAATCTCTAAGGATAATAAATACTTTTAAAGTTAGTTCTCCACCATTTATATTTCTTCTCCTGAAAACACTCTGTTTAGATTCCTGGCCCGTTTTTTAAGGTTCAACAATTTCCTTGACTTTTTTTTTTAAGTTCTTCATAGATTCTAGATATTAATCCTCTGTCAAATGACTAGTTGGCAAAGATTGCCTCCCATTCTGTGGGCTTCTTCATTACTCCATTGACTGTTTCCTTAGCTGTGCTAAAGCTTTTTTTTGTTTTATGAGACCCCAGTTATCAATTGTTGGCCTTAATTTCTTGGTAAATGGAGTTCTGTTCAGAAAGTCCTTTCCAACAGCTGTATCTTGTAGGGTACTGCCTATGTTTCCTTCTGGCAGTTTTAGTGTTTTGGGTTTCAAATTAAAGTCTTCGATCCACTTAGAGCTAATTTTTGTATGAGGCCATAGAGTCAGGTCTAATTTAATCCTGCTTGTGGACATCCAGTTTTCCCAGCACCATTTATTGAAGACGTTGACTTTGCTCTGCTGGATGTTATGGGCCACTTTGTCAAATATCAAAGCAGCTATGTTTGGGTCTTCTATTTCATTTTGGAGTCTATTTTTTAAAAGAGACCTGGAGAACTACTCCCTGACCTTTTCCAGTCATTGAAGACACAAGAAAGAGTCTAAGTCCCTAGATGCCAGCTACAGTCCCAGTCCCAGGATATAGGAATGTTTGTGTGTGTGTGTGTGTGTGTGTGTGTGTGTGTGTGTGTGTGTGCTTGGAGTCACATGTGTTCTATTATCCCACACATTTACAGTGGGATGACTGCTGTCATGTTCTACCAACTGTTACAGCAGAGCCTCATTTGGGCTGACATCTTGTGAAATTCTTCCCTCAAAACAGGCAAATAACACAGCCCAACTGGGAGCACTGAGTTTCAGCAGTATTTGTCACCTGGGAGGGACAGAGAGGATCTCAGGTTAAAGGTCATCTGGAAAGGCCAGAGTAGCATCTCCTGTTATAGGACGCTGCTCCTAGGGAAAGGTGACCAGACATCTAGATAGGGAATTAATGTCAGACTTAAAGACCAAAGACCAACTTGGTGAATTTATTGTGGTTACTTACAAGAGTGTGTGTGAGGACTTACTTATAGGAGCAGAAATGATTCAAAGACACCTGCACTGTGGTAAGCTCACCCTAGCATGGGTGAAAGTTCTTGACAACCAGAATCCAAAAGCACACAGTACTATCCAGGTCACAGAATGTCTCTTGTAGCTAGCTCAATTGACCTGAGCCTCTTCCAGGAGCTCAGCAGGTCTGAAAGTGCCTCTCAGAGCCCTTCCTGCTTATGCTTGGAGAGGGGCTTAGTGCATCTACTGAGCTTCCTGGAGCTTTTGGTTTCTTTATTTCTGGAGTTTTAAAGGGCTTCCCTGAGGGATGGAATGTTTCACCTCCTATTTATTTATTTATTTATTTATTTATTTATTTATTTATTTCCATCACAAATGCTGCCTCCTTTCCTGGTCCCCCCTTCATAATCCGTCCCCATCTCCCTCCCCTTTTCCTCTGAGAAGGTAGCACCCCCTCCCCCTGGTATCCCCCAACCCTGGCGCATCAAGTCTCTGCAGGATTAGGTGCATCCTGTCCCACTGAGTCCAGACAAGCAGTCTGGTTTGGGAACAAACTCCACACCCAGGCAACAGCTTTAGCGGCAGTACCCACTCCAGTTGCTGAGGGACCAACATGGGAACTAAGCATGTCTGTTACATATGTGCCGGACAGCCTCAGCCCAGCCCGTGTATGCTGAAACATCCCAAGTCTTAATAAGCTTCCCTCAAAGGTGGAATATTCTTTTCAACACCTACAAAATAAAACTCAGCTATGAGCAAGTGAACACCAGGGACCACTCTACCCTCAGAGATGAGTTAGCGATGCCACAAGGACCTGTCGCAGCATACACTATTTGCACGCATTCTGCTGCACGCCACTGAACATCAGCCTTACATTGGAAGACAGTTCCTCTTCATAGGGGAGGAGATAAAAACTCGTATATGGTGATAGTGCAAATCTCAGTATGGAGTGTAGGTTGTAGAGGAAAAGCTTTCAAGAAGTTAGAGTCACCTGGGGTACAGGCTTCTGGACAAGTCCTTAGAGGATTACCTTGCTAAGTTGAGGTAGGAAAGCGCTGTGGGAGGCAGCATTCATTAGGCAAAAAATCCCAGGATGAGAGGGAGTAAGCAAGCTGAGCACAAGCATGCGTCAGTCCGGTGCTTGCTCTCTTCTGCCTGCACGTGGACTGTAACTGGCTGCTTCAAGCTAATGCTACTAAAATATACAAAACAGCTCCTGTCCCCTCTCTACTACCTACTCTTCTAGCTGTGCCAAGCAATGTCTCTCTCCCCACACTTTTCCGGGGTGAGGGTGTCCCCATCCTGTTCCTTTTTTTTCCCCTGAGTCAGAGAAGAATGGACCTCACAGAGGGTGCTACAGAGGGCCATGGGGTTATATAAATGCCAGGGCAGAGGGAAGGTAGAAAGAGGGGAGTCGAGAGAAGCAGAAGATGGCAGGAGAGCCAGAGCTCCGTCAGCCAAAGAACTATGGTGAGGCTGGGCACCCTCTAGGTGCTTTCCGGGGAGCGGGATCCAGGATCCAGGTAATCTGGACCTGGCCTTCAGCTTCGCTGGGGTAAGGGAGGGGGCTGAGCTTTGAAGGTCAGCTGCTTATGTTCTGTCCCATTCAGAGGAGGAGGAGGTCACATCCAGAAACCAGGGATTTGCTGAGAATGACCCCGAGGGTCTCATTTGCACCCCCAAGAGTTTGCAAGGTACCAGGGTGATTCAGGGGCAGAGGTGTCAGGGATCCTCTGCAGAATGAACACAGCAGGGCAGGATCTGCTCCTTGGGAGCTCAGCTCTGCCCATCTGTCGGTTCTGCAGGACATCTGACCCGAGTCCCCTGGCTTCTGCTGCTTCTCATCTCTTTGGGCCTCTTTCTGCTTATGTTGGCCACCCTGATTCAAGGTAAGTCAGGGCAGGGCTGGGAAAGGGGGTCTGGAGTGGGAGTCTGCTTTTATTTTATTATTTTGTTTTTCCGCTCGGTAAGCAAGAACTCCAGCATGGGACAGTAGCTGAACTCTTAGATTTTTTTCTTCTGGAATGATCCTTGCTTACCCCCAGATTCACCACAGCTGGGACATCTAAGGTCCACTTCCCTCACATTATTTGTGACCAGGAGCAGCTTCCTGTCCCTCTCTGAAATGCGGCCCACCTTTCCCTTGCAACTGAACTTGGCACAGCCAGGCACAGTCAGTGCTCATAAGGGGGTGTGGGTGTGTGTGCTCTTCTCTCTCGCAGTTTCCAGGATTCCTGCATACTCCAAGGGACAGACCCAGGATCAGCAGGGTAGCTCCAGCTTAGGGAGAGGTAACTGGGGCTCTAGGTGGGAGAGGACTCTCAGGTTGTGTGAAGTGGGTAACTATGGGCACAGGCATGCTTGGTGCATGGCAGGATGGGGGAGGCCAGAGACCTGTTGGGCCTAACAGATTCTGAGGCCCAGTGTTCTGGTCTGTGAAATGGTCTGTGAATTGAGGTCACTGTGACCACCAATGTGATTTTGTGGGTCCAGCTTTGGACCAGGCACACAGTTGATGCTTAACTGTTGTCAACCTCTCCTTGTAGGTGCTGTTCCTCAGGAGCAGACACACTCCGGCTTGGAGCAGATCCAGCAGATCCAGCAGCAGCTGACTCAGCTCAATGCCTCACTGGGTGAGGCTCCAGGACCTGAGCTGGGACAGAGCTGAGGGGTCATCAGAGGGATTGGCATCCACTTTCTGGGTCTCCCACTGAGGCAGGCAGGATAGAGCACAGGGACTGTGGTCTGGGTTTTGGGGGCACTGAGTTGATAGCTGAAATGGGAGACCAGCCCTGGACTGTAATGTCCGGGGCAGGGGGGAGACGGGAACCGTTCAACCACTGAGCTCAGTGTTTGCTCTGTAGCTGGCCTGTGCCGGCCCTGTCCCTGGGACTGGGAGCTCTTCCAGGGAAGCTGTTACCTCTTCTCCAGAACCCTGGGCAGCTGGGAAACCTCTGCCTCCTCCTGCAAGAATCTTGGGGCCCACTTGGTGATTATCAACAGTGTTGCAGAGCAGGTGAGTGGGCCACAACCACCTGTCCTAGGCATTGGACTCCAGATGGGAAGCTGTGGAATGTGGAGGAGATGCTGTCTGAGGGGGCTTCCTGTAGGAGGAAGCACAGAGGACTGGGGAGGTTCTCTAGGGGAAGAACAGATGAGAGATGGGCTGGGACTGAAGGGAGTCAGGGAAGCTTTGAGATTTTGTGTAACTCTCTTGAGCTGAGATATCAACCAACTTATTTCCTCACATGTGCTCTTCAACCCCAACCCACGGATGCATTTGTATGCCAGAAAACTAGATTCACAGTGCTAGGCTTGAGTGCAGAAAGAACATGCTTGAAGGTGGGAAAGACTGGGATATTGGAGGGGTGGAGGTATCCTTCTGTCCATCCTGACTCCAACCTCTGTCCAGCTATTCCTCAAATACTGGCACATCAGAAAGAGTCAGCTCACCTGGGTCGGCCTCAGCGATCACAGAAGTGAAGGTTCCTGGCAGTGGGTGGATGATACCCCACTCAAACTCAGGTGAGACTCAGAATCTATGGCCAGTGGCATGAGGCAGGGGGGATGGCCCTCACTCTAAACACAGCCTTCAGTGTGAGAAAGCACCAGGAACATTTCAAATTCAGGACCCCACATCCCTGGACTTTCTGTCCTTTGAGCCTAAGCCCAAGTTCCCAGAATCTGCATTTTTCACCCTGCTGGGATGGTTCTCTTGGAGGTGAGGTGGTGAGCGAAATGAGAACCCATATTTTACTAAGCCCTGCCCTGTCCACTGGCTAACTCCTGTCCGCTGGCTTGGTCCTCAGACTTTGTCTATGAAAGCCCAAGATCAGGACTTCTGCTGTGTATGAGGAGTGGGTAGTTCTGGGCAGGATGGCTGTCTCTGATAACTAGTAATGTTTACAGCTTCTGGAAAGAGGGGGAGCCCAATAATGTAGGGGACGAGGACTGCGTGGTAATGGCAGAAGATAAGTGGAATGACAGCATTTGTACTGCAAACAACTTCTGGGTCTGTGAGAAGCCCTCGGCTCCCTGCCCTGGTCACTGAGGGTCACGCAGACAACATGGAGACACTCTGTTCCAGTCCCAGCCACCTTGTCATCCCAATGTCTCTGTTCTGAGACCTTTGAGATCCTGAGAGAGTTCCTGAGGCACCCTTCCCTGCAGCTCTTCCCTCTTCCTCTGTGGGTGACTTCAGTTACACAAATCCCAACCCCATGAATCCCTTCAGTAGAGTCACACACACTTGGGGCTGGAGTGTAGCTCAGTGATACACCCCAGCTGGCCTAGCATGGGTGACTCTGAGTCCCATCCCCAACACCCAAATAAATGAATAAATTATTAAATTTATACATGGTTTGATGTCTTCCATTTAGTGGATTCTTTATTTCTGGACTCTGTCTTCATCGGTAAAGCTTAGAAATGTTTCATGTTAACTAGGACATTAGTGTCTACAATACCTTTGGGTTTCGAGCAATTCATTTGTTTGTTTGTTTGTTTGTTTGTTTGTGACAGAGTCTCATTATGTATGCCTGGCTGGCCTTGAACTCACAGAGATCTCTCTGCTTCTGTCTCCTGAGTGCTGGAATTAAAGGCATGCAGCACTACACCTGGATGAATATTTTTAAAAACATTGAGTTGGTACCTGTCCACCTAATGAGTGTATTCTTATTCACATTCACGTTTTCATATTCTCTCTGTGTCTGTCTGTCTGTCTCTCCCATCTCCACATGTCTTCATTCATTTGTTCATTCATTCATTCATAACCAACTATTTATTCACAGACCCCCCAAGCACTTCTTCCAGTTGTACCACTGTACCCAGAGCTCAAATAAAATGCTGCAGTCATCATCCGGCAATTCTAGAGCTTAGCACATCCCTTGCTCGCAAAAGAAACCTCTGTGGAGCTAGTCAAGGAATGACCAGCCCTCTGGGCTTCTCCCTAGGCTGCAAAGAGCCACCCAAACCTCAAGGTGGCTTCAGCCACTTCCTGCCTCCTCCCCTTTGTCTTGGCGCAACCTTCTGCCTGTGCTTCTTCCACTTCCCCAATAGGTTCCATGTTCTCAAGAAGCAAACTGATGTCATCCTGGTGGTCCCCTTACCTTGATCCTCAGTTTCTCCTGGCACCTAAGGCCAGGGGAAGAATAAAGAGCCCCTCACAGCATCTCTCCCTCAGGAAAGCTGTCTCCAGAGCCCACTGTCTCCCAGTCAGGAAGACTCTTTTTGCTGGTGATGCCAAAGGCTCAGCCTTCCCCTAGTATCTAGAAACCTAGGGAATCTCAGCTAGGGTCACCTCAATAGACTCCTCATATCCTCCCCCATCCCATGCCTCTATCTAGTCACCAGAGATGCCCCCTTCCACCAGTTTCCAGTCTCACTCCCAGCCCTCTCCTGTCCATCTTCTCCCCAAGCCTGATCACCATCCCTGTTCCCCCTTACTCCCTCCTACACAAATTCCTCTCTCCATCCACCTCAAATAACTATTTAGTTTCCCCTTCTGAGTGAGATTTGTGCACCCTCCCTTGGGATCTTCTTATTATGCAGTTGCTTTGTGTCTGTGGATTGTAGCATGATTGTCCTGCACGTTATGGCTAATAGCAACTTATAAGTGAATACTATGTGTGTCTTTCTGTCTCTGGGTTTCCTCACTCAGGATGATGTTCTCAAGTTCCATCCATTTGCCTGCAAAATTCATGATGCCTTTGCTTTTAATAGCCGAAGAGTATTCTATTGTGTAGATATACCACATTTTCTTTATCCATTCTTCAGTTGAGGGATATTTAGAATGTTTCCAGTTTCTGGCTATTATGGATAAAGCTGCTATGAACATAGTTGAGCAAATGTCCCTGTGGTATAGTCGAACATCTTTTGGGTATATGCCTAGGAGTGGTATAGATGGGTTAGAGACTGGAGTGGCCACCTCCTGTAGCCAGGCAGGACTTCCAGAGGAAGGAGGGGCATGTCAATCCATCCATAAAACCTCCAGCTTAAAACCTGTCCTGCCTACAAGATGTGCAGGAATAAAGAAGAACCAGAGACTGAGGGAACAGCCAACCAATGACTGCACCCAACTTGAGACACATCCCATGTGAAAGAACCACCCCCTAATACTATTAATGATGTTATGCTTGCAGACAGGAGCCTAGCATAACTGTCTTCTAAGAGGCGTCATTTGACAGCTGATGGAGGCAAATGTAGCGACCCATAGCCAAACTCAGGAGGAGCTCAGGAAGTCCTGTGGAAGAATGGAAGATAGATTTGGGCAAGCTTGAGGGGTCAAGGACACCACAAGAGGAACCACAGAGTCAACTAACCTGGTACCATGGGGGCTCACAGAGACTGAACCACCAACCAGAGAGCATGCAGGAGCTGGACCTAGCCCACCTACACATTTGTAGCAAGTATACAGCTTTGTCTTCATGTAGGTCCTCTAACAAACAGAATAGGGGTTGTCTTGGTCTCTGTTCCCTGCCATTGGATCCCCTTCCCCCGACCTGGACTGCCTGGCTGGACCTAGTCCTACTGGGACTAGATGTTCCAAGATGGGGCAGTACCCAAGGGTGGGGGGAACCTTCCATTTTCTGAGGAGAAGGGGAGGGGGCAGTGGGAGGAGGGATTTCTCAGGGTGGGACTTGGAGAAGAGGAGGGAGGGAGGCTGTGGTCTGGATGTAAAGTGAATAAAAAATGAATTATTGAAAAAGAGAGAGGAAGAAAAATAAAGAAGGAAGGGAAGAAATGGAAGAAAAAAGGAAAGGATGGAAAGAAGGGAAAGAAGGGGAGGGAGGGAGGGAGGGAGGAAGAGAGGGAGAGAGAGAGAGGAGAGAGAGGAGAGAGAGGAGGGAGAGAGAGAGAGGAGAGAGAGGAGGGGGAGAGAGAGAGAGAGAGAGAGAGAGAGAGAGAGAGAGAGAGAGAGAGAGAGAGAGAGAGAGAGAGAGAGAGAGAGAGAGAGAGAGAGAGAGCAAGCGCTAAGGGAACTTTTAGCATCTCGGAGGAAATTCTCCCTCAGTCCTCTGGGTGGCGCCAGACATCACAGAAAGCGTTGGTCTGTTTGCTCTACTGCCTCTCCCCTCATGGCTGCTTTGCTTCCCTCACTGACCCCAGGATCAGAGAGAGAGCCTGTCCCAAAATCAGCTCCTTGATAAGGGACACTCCCTATCTCTGCACTTGTCTGATAAAGTACCTCCCACCTCGCTGGCCACTGCTTTTTGTGGCGTTCAAAGAATCTAATTTTTTTTTTTTTTTATTATACAGAAGCCTACAGTTACAAAATCTTAGATATCTTAGAGAAACTGCAACTTTAGAGTCCTTGGATATTTTGGACAAACTTTGCAATTTTAAAGAGACTTTGGAGTGTTAGAGAGGTTTTGAATTTTGAAAGAGACTTTGGATGTCTTAAAGAGACTGGAATTTTTTGTTCGTTTTGTTTTGTTTTTCAAGACAGAGTAGCCCTGACTGTCCTGAAACTCACTGGCCCCAAACTCAGTTATCCACCTGCCTCTTCCTCCTGAGTATTGGGATTAAAGGTATAGACCACCACCACCACCACCCAGGCAAAAGGCTGAATTTCCAAAGTGCTTGAATTAAAAAAAAAAAGTGGGATTTTAAAAGTTGAACTATTTTATGTTGTGACATTAATATTAGAGATCTCGAGAATAAACAAAAAAGAAAATGTTATAGTTTAGCAATGGCTCGGATTATGTGTCAAGTTGACAAAGGTTCAATTGCCCTGCTTGGTATTTTTATCATCTTGAACAAGCTAGGGTTATCTGAGAAGAAAGAACCATGATTAGAATATGTCTATAATCCTCCCTTTCTCTGAGGAGAATGGGAGGAATTATGGGAAGGAGAGGAGAAAGAGAAGGACTGGGAGGAGAGGAGGGAGGAGAAGCTGTGATCAGGATATTTATTAATTAATTAATTAATTAATTAATGGAAAAAGAAAGAAAATCCCTCTATAATATTGGGTATAGGCAAGCCTGTAGGGTATTTTGTTAATTAGTGATTGGTGTGGAAGGCTACTGTAGATTGTGCCGATGCTGGGAAGATGGCCTGGAGTATATAAGAAAACAGACTGAGTAAGCCAATAGACAGTGGTCTTCCATGGCTTTCCCTTCAGTTCTACCTTAAGTTCCTACCCTGACTTCCTTTGAGGATAGACTGTAATATAGATGTGTAGATAAAATGAACTTTTTTCCCTGAGTTGCTTTTGGCAATGGTGTTTTATCACAACAGTAGAACCCTCAGATACCCACCCACTATGTTATTTTTCTCACTGCTGGAATAAATCATCTGACAAAAGCAAACGAAGGATTTATATTGGCTCTTCATTTGAGGATGCAGCCCACTGTAGTACTCAGAATGTACAGTAGCTGGTCACATTGCATTTGGACTTAGGAAGCAGACAGAATTGAACACTGGTACTGTTTTCTTGCATTTTTCATTTGGGGCTGGAATATAGCCCTTCAGATGGTGCTACTCACCTTAAAATGGGCCTCCCAGGCTGTAGAGATGGCTCAGAGGTTAAGAGCACTGGCTGCTCTTCCAGACGTCCTTGAGTTCAGAGGTCCCAACAACCACACAATAGCTTAATACCATCTATACTGAGTTCTGACGCCCTCTTGTGCATGTAGGTGTACACGCAGATAGAGTACTCAAATACATAAAATATATAAAAATAAATAAATAAATCGTGTGGGGAAAAAAAGAATGGGCCTCCCTACCACAGTTAAACTTTTCTGAAAACACCCTCAGACACTGTGATGGCTGTTCTTGTCAACTTGACTTTATTGGGAATGAACCATAGTCCAGAAATGGAGAGCATACCGTGAGAGTTTTTTTTTTTTTTTTTTTTTTTGCTTGGTTTGAAGTGGGTAAATCCACTTCTAGTCTGAATCTTTTGATCCCATGCCATTGACCTGGATCTTGAGGCAGGAAGACACATCTGTAATCTGGGGCACACCTTCTGCTAGAAGCCTATGTAAGGATGTGGGGAACGTGCTATTTGCCTGCTTGCTTCTACCTTGCTAGCAAGTCTATTCCTTCACTGGCATAAAAGCCTACTTCTTTGAGATTCCAATGTCTACTGAAGACCAGCTGAGACATTCAGCCTTGTACACTGAGCAACTACTGGATTCTTGAACTTCTCATTCATAGCCAGCAATTGTTGGGTTAGCTGGACCACACACAGCCTGTAAAGTCATTCGAATAAATTCTCTTTAATATGTATGTGTGTGTGTGTGTGTGTGTGTGTGTGTGTAATTTTAGAGAGAGATTTATTCTATAAGTTCAATTTATCTAGAGAAC